TAGTAAGAGGAGGAGAGAAAAGATGGCAGAGGAGTAGGGGACCCTATTCCAACCGGTCCCTGGAAGTGAGCTGGATATCTACCAGACCACTCTGAACACCCACGAATTCAGCCTTAGATGTAAGAAAATATATCTGGATCTCCACAAACAGAATATCGCAGGTGGTTGGTTTCAAGGTATGAAGTGGGGAGCCGTACTCCGTGGGCAGATATCAGAAGATAAACAGAAGGGGGAGGGAGCTGCCATAAGTGCTTGAGCCAGGAAGGTGAAATAACACCAGGGTCCAAAAGACTCTCATGCTGGGGACCAGGGGCAGACCCACAGACTGCTAGCAGTGGGGAAAGGACTTTAGGGCGGGCCCCTGGACTACAACCTGGAGTGGTGGGGCAACGTGTGTGAACTGGGAGTGGCTGGCGGCTTTAGAAACACAAAGGGCAGAGACGTGCCCAGACCTGGAGGCAGGACTGGGAGCACTGCGGAGGGGCACACAACCCAGGACGCTGCAGTTTATAGCAGCACAGACAAAAACAGAGACAGTGTGGCCTGGAAAGCTCACTGAAGAACAGACTGCAATCTCTCTGCTCTGAGGCAGAGAGTTCAAAACAGTCTTTTCTGCTCTGACTCTCAGAAGACGCGTGAAAAGCTGCCAGGGAAAGCCGCCAGTGAACAAAAGCCCCCCCAAACCGGTTTTCACTGACCCCATCCCCCCAACAGAGGGCAGGGCAACTCTGCCTAGACATTGTTGCCTGAGTAAAAGTGTGGCAGGCCCCTCCCCCAGAAGACAGTCTGGAAGGACAAGCGGCCTACAACCCTAAGGTCCCCATAAAACAGGTCCATTTGCTTGGGTTGTGGTCAATAATTTGGACTCTGTACACTCCCTCAATCACCCCTCAACAGAATGACTAGGAAGAGGAACCCCTAAAATAGGAAAGACTCAGAGACTGTGACTTCTGCCACAGATTTACAAATGGATGCAGATAAAACAAGATGTCGGAAATGGAATTCAGGGTAGCAGTTGAGAAGACAATAGCTAGAATGGAGAAATCAATTAATGGCAACATAGAATCTCTAAGGGCAGAAATTAACACTGAACTGGCAGAACTTAAAAATGCTATCAATGAGATCCAATCTAATCTAGATAATCTAACAGCTAGGGTAAGTGAGGCAGAAGAACAAATAAGCGACCTGGAAGACAATTTAATAGATAAAACGGGAAAAGAGGAAGACAGGGAGAAACAGCTCAGAATCCATGAAAACAGAATTAGAGAAACAAATGATGCCATGAAATGTTCCAATGTCAGAATTGTTGGAATCCCTGAGGGGGTGGAGAGAGAGAGAGGACCAGAAGATATATGTGAGCAAATTGTAGATGAGAACTTCCCTAATCTGGGGAATGAAATAAACATTCATGTCCTAGAAGCAGACAGGACCCCTCCCAAGATCAAGGACAACAGGCCAACACCCTGACATGTAATAGTAAAACTCACAAATCTTAGAACCAAGGAAACCATCTTAAGGGCAGTTAGGGGGAAGAGATTCCTTACGTACAAAGGGAGGAATATCAGAATAATGTCAGACCTATCCACAGAGACCTGGCAAGCCAGAAAGGCCTGGCAAGACATATTCAGGGTACTAAACGAGAAGAACATGCAGCCAAAAATACTTTATCTGGCAAGGCTGTCATTTAAAATGGATGGAGAGATGCAGAGCTTCCACGACTGGCAGAAACTGAAAGAATATGTGACCACTAAGCCGGCCCTGCAAGAAATTTTAAGGGGGGTCCTATAAAAGGAAAAAGAACCCAAGAGTGAGATACAACAGAAATTTACAGGGACAATCTATAGAAACAAGGACTTCACAGGCAACATGATGACAATTAATTCATATCTTTCAATAATCACTCTCAACGTGAATGGCCTATTTGCTCCCATAAAATGGCAAAGGGTTGCAGATTGGATAAAAAGACAGGACCCATCCATATGCTGCATACAAGAGACTCATTTGGAACCTAAAGATACATCCAGACTGAAAGTGAAGGGATGGAGATCCATCTTCCATGCCAGTGGACCTCAAAATAAAGCTGAGGTAGCAATTCTTATATCAGACAAATTAGATTGTAAACTAAAGTCTGTAATAAGAAACACAGAAGGACACTATATCATTCTTTTTTTTTTTAAGATATTATTTATTTATTTATTTGACAGAGAGAGACACAGCGAGAGAGGGAACACAAGCAGGGGGAGTGGGAGAGGGAGAAGCAGGCTTTCCGCTGAGCAGAGAGCCCAATGCGGGGCTCGATCCCAGGACTCTGGGATCATGACCTGAGCCGAAGGCAGGCGCTTAACGACTGAGCCACCCAGGTGCCCCGACACTATATCATTCTTAAAATGTCTATCCAACAAGAAGATCTAACAATTGTAAATATGTACGCCCCCAACATGGGAGCAGCCATCTACATAAGCCAACTGTTAACCAAAATAAAGAGTCATATTGATAACAATACATTAAATGTAGGAGACCTCAATACTCCACTCTCAGCAACAGACAGATCATCTAAGCAGAAAATCAACAAAGAAACAAGAGCTTTGAATGACACACTGGACCAGATGGACCTCATAGACATTTACAGAACACTCCACCCTAAAACAACAGAATACTCATTCTTCTGGAGCGCACATAGAACTTTCTCCAGAATAGACCACATACTGGGTCACAAATCAGGTCTCAACCGATACCAAAAGATTGAGATTATTCCCTGCATATTCTCAGACCATAATGCTTTAAAATTGGAACACAATCACAAGAAAAATTTTGGAAGAAATTCAAACACTTGGAAGCTAAAGACCACTCTGCTCCAGAATGTTTGGGTCAACCAGGATATCAAAGAAGAACTTAAACAATTCATGGAAATCAATGAGAATGAAAACACATTGGTCCAAAACCTATGGGATACTGCAAAGGCGGCAGCAATTCAGTAATGCAGCAGGATACAAAATCCATGTACAGAAATCAGTTGCTTTCTTATACACTAACAATGCAACTGTAGAAAGAGAAATTAGAGAAACGATTCCATTTACAATAGCACCAAAAACCATAAGATACCTCGGAATAAACCTAACCAAAGAGGTAAAGGATCTATACTCTAGGAGTTACAGAACACTCATGAAAGAAATTGAAGAAGACCCAAAGAGATGGAAAAATATTCTATGTTCATGGATCAGAAGAATACACATTGTTAAAATGTCTATGCTACCCAGAGCAATCTATACCTTCAATGCCATCCCGATCAAAATTCCAATGACATTTTAAAAAGTACTGGAACAAACAATCCTAAAATGTGTAAGGAATCAGAAAAGACCCCGAATTGCCCAGGAAATGTTGACAAAGAAAAACAAAGCTGGGGGCATCACGTTGCCCGATTTCAAGCTATATTACAAAGCAGTGATCACCAAGACAGCATGGTACTGGCACAAACAGACATGTAGACCAATGGAACAGAATAGAGAACCCAGATATGGACCCTCAACTCTATGGTCAAATAATCTTCAACAAAGCAGGAAAAAACATGCAATGGAAAAAAGACAGTCTCTTCAATAAATGGTGCTGGGAAAATTGGACAGCCACATGCAGAAGAATGAAACTTGACCGTTCTCTAACACCATTCACAAAGATAAACTCAAAATGGATGAAAGACCTCAATGTGAGACAGGAATCTATCAAAATCCTAGAGGAGAACATACGCAATTACCTCTTTGACATTGGCCACAGCAACTTCTTTCAAGATACATCTCCAAAGGCTAGTGAAACAAAAGCAAAAATGAACTTTTGGGGCTTCGTCAAGATAAAAAGCTTCTGCACAGCAAAGGAAACAGTCAACAAAACAAAGAGGCAACCCACAGAATGGGAGAAGATATTTGCAAAGAACACTACAGATAAAGGGCTGGTATCCAAGATCTATAAAGAACTTCTCAAACTCAACACCCAAAAAACAAATAATCAAGTCAAAAAGTGGGCAAAAGACATGAACAGACACTTCTCTGAAGAAGACCTACAAATGGCTAAGAGACACATGAAAAAATGTTCATCATTAGCCATCAGGGAAATTCAAATCAAAACCACACTGAGATACCACCTTACACCAGTTAAAATGGCAAAAATTGACAAGGCAAGAAACAACAAATGTTGGAGAGGTTGTGGAGAAAGGGGAACCCTCTTACACTGTTGGTGGGAATGCAAGTTGGTACAGCCACTTTGGAAAACAGTGTGGAGGTTCCTCAAAAAGTTGAAAATAGAGCTACCCTATGACCCAGCAATTGCACTACTGGGTATTTACCCCAAAGATACAGATGTAGGGAAAAGAAAGGGCACATGCATCCCAATGTTTATAGCAACAATGTCCACAATAGCCAAACTGTGGAAAGAGCCGAGATGCCCTTCAACAGATGAATGGATAAAGATGATGTGGTCCATATATACAATGGAATATTACTCAGCCATCAGAAAAGATGAATACCCAACTTTTACATCAACATGGATGGGACTGGAGGAGATTATGCTAAGTGAAATAAGTCAAGCAGAGAAAGACAATTATCATATGGTTTCACTCATATGTGGAACATAAGGAATAGCATGGAGGACCACAGGGGAAGGGAGGGAAAACTGAATTGGAAGAAATCAGAGAGGAAGTCGAACCATGAGAGACTCTGGATTCTGGGAAACAAACTGAGAGTTCCAGAGGGGAGGGGTGGGAGGATAGGGTACCCGGGTGATGGACATTAAGGAGGGCACGTGTTGTGATGAGCACTGTGTGTTATATGCAACTAATGAATCTTTGAACACTACATTGAAAAGTAATGATGTATTATATGCTGGCTAATTGAACATAATAATAATAATAAATAATTTTAAAAATAAAATAAATAAAATTAAGGGAAAGAAACAATTTAGATCAATAAATACAAAAAGTTTTAAATTTTCTGAATTTTCAACCAGCTACAATAAACACGAATTATTTTATTAGAAAATAGAACTGTTACAAAAATTAAAAATAAATAAGTTGCTGCTACAAAACTGCAACATAATATATAGTTTACTAGTTTTGTTATAGTTAGAAAGATAGGAGTGGGTGATAATGGTGATATGGGTTAAAGTAAACAGAACAAAGATGGGTAAAAAAAGATATGAGGGAAAGGAGATTGAGGGAGAGTAAGAAGAGAAAAAGAAACACAGAAAAAGTGCTTTATTAAATGAGTTAGTTATATGAGGTCACCAAAAGGAACATATCCTCTGACTGAGGTTCTATAATGAGAACCACCTCATTTGGATGATTTCATTGTCCTGGTGTCTTCAAGCCACGGGTAAAGCAGATGCTCACATTCTCTGTAAAATGCACCATCAGCAAGATTTCGCTGTCCCACACTGGACCAGAGGCATCGTGGAGTGATGGTCTTCACCCTGGATGGAGGAGCGCTCACTCCCACTTGTCCACACCTGGACGGCAGGGAGCCAAAATGCTGGCATCTGGCAGCCGACGTCTATCACTACCAAAAAGGCTCAAAGACAATGGTCAACTCAGGCTTTTCTTCTTGAAGTGTTTCTAATGCACATTTTGTATCATAATTGAAATACATTTCACACAACCTGTAAGAGCAAATTGACAGCTTTATGTTATATTCTTCAAAGAACACTCTCAACATTTTTGCTTTAAAAATCTCACCTCCTTACTTCCCTTAATCTAACACACTTCTAAGCTCTCCAATGCTACACTTCATGCCTAATGTTTTTCTGTTATATTTTCAACCTTCAAGTTTGGAAATGTTTTAACATGTAAATTTAGAGAGAATGGTAATCAATCCCTATGCCTATTACCCAAATTTGACAATTAAAAACCCATGCCCAGGGACGCCTGCATGGCTCAGTCAGTTAAACATCTGCCTTCAGCTCAGGTCATGATCCCAGGGTCCTGGGATTGAATCCCATGTCATCAGGCTCTCTGCTCAGAGGGGAATCTGCTTCTCCCTCTCCCTCTGCCCCCCTCCCCTGCTCATGCTCTCTTGTTCTTGCTCATTCTTTCAATCTTTCTCTCTCTAATAAATAAAATCTTTTTAAAAAATAAATTAAAGAAACAACTCATGGCCAATCTCGTTTCGTCTATCACCCACGTACTCTTCACAACAATGGATTATTACAAACACGGCACTGCATGCATCTATAAACACAACCACAATGCCATTATCACACCTAAAAAAGTTAACAGTGATTCCTTAATATCAACATATGTCCAGTGTTTAGATTTCCTCAACAGGCTGATACATTTTTTTATATGAGGTTTATTTAATCAGAAGCCATATAAAGTTCACACATTGCAACCGTTTGTATGCCTGTCAAGTCTTCTTTGATATATAATTTCTTCCCTCTTGTCTCTTTTTTTTCTCAAGTTTCCCTTGCAACTTAGCTAAGAAATCATACCATTTGTCCTGCACCATTTTTAACAATCTTGATTTGGTTGTGTTATGGATTGAATGTTTGTGTTTCTTCAAAATCCATGCATTGAAGCCCTAATCCTCCATGTAATGGTATTTGAAATGGAGCATTTGGGATCTAATTAGGGTTAAATGAGGTCATGGGGGTGGGTCATCACGATGGGATCAGTGCCCTTATGGTAAGAGATGCCAGGGCACACACTGTCTCACATCTCTGTCTCTCTCTTCCATGTAGGGACATGGGAAGAAGGCAGCTATCTGCAAGCCTGGACGAAAGCTCTCACCAGGACCTGAATCAGTTGGCACTGTGATGTTAGACTTCCCATATTCAAATCTGTGAGCAATACATGTCTGTTGTTTAAGGCGCCCTGAGCTAATGAGACAGGTGGGTTGCCTCCAGAGGTTCCTCAGTCTGTTTGAAGCCTGTCCCTCAGGGCTGGGTCAGGGACTCCACACACAGTAATGTCTCAGCTTCATCCTGGCCTCCCTTGCTTTTGTCCTTCTATTTCTCTTCACTCTGAGAATGCTGGCTTTTCCTGCAGCACCTGCGTTCTACTGTGTCTGCATAACGATGCAAAATTCTGTTTATTCAAACCTGCATTCTAGCCAGTTCTCAGCCTTGAGGTCATGAACTAGAACAGAAGCCCCAGGACTAATAGAATTTATATTATTTGGGTACGATATAGATAATAAATAAACAAGAAAGTGATATAGCAGGTATGTATGATGATGATCACACGATGGTGTAAAATAAGCAAAAAAGGGGGGCAAATATGCTAAACTGATATTTTCAGTAGGATGGTCAGAGACACACACACAGAAGGAGACCTCTAAGCAGAGGATTAAGGATACATGGGAACAAGTCACATGACTGTCAAAGGGGAGAGAGGTCCAGGCAGAGGGAACAGGAAATGCCAAGTTGTGGAGGTGACCGTATTTTTGCAAAACTGCAAGAAGATCAGTGTGTGTGGAGCATAAGGAACACGGATTAGGAGACAATGAATTTGCAGAAGCAGCAGGGGCCAGACCACAGGCAGCCTCAGGCACTGCTATGGGTTTGTGGATCTTACTTTGAATGCGATAGGAAATCACTAGAGCATGAGGGTAGGAATGATATGATCACTTGCTCCTGTTTTAGCTACAACCTCTATCTGCCATGGTCAGGATAATAACAGATGCAGAGTTGCCTGGCAGATGCCACCAGAACAATCCAGACAAGACAGAACGGTGGTTTTGAACCAGGGTAGGAGTCATGAAGCCAGAAGTCAGGAAGAGGTCAACAAGCAGGCATGTTATGGAAGCAGAGCTAACAAGAAATGCCAACAAGCTGGATGTGTGCATAAGAAAAAATAGGTGTCGAAGATGACTTAGAGTGTTTTTCTGTTGTTTTTGGCCTGAGCAAATCTCACTAAGCAACCACTGACAAAGATGAGGAAGAAGCAGATTTTAGGCAGAGGGGGTAATACAGGTTTGGATTTGGACATGTAAAGTTTAGCACCTTTATTAAACATACAAATGGAAAGGTCAGACTAGCATTTGGACATGGAATTTATGCAGGTATAAATTGGCTGGCACAGCATATATATGGTAAAGCCAGAACACTGGATGCTGTCAACACAGGATAAAGTATAGAGAAGAAAAATTAGCTCAGTGATTGAGTCCAGGGGATTCAGCATGTGCAGGTCAGGATGATAAAGAGAATCCACAAAGGAGACTGAGCAGAAATAGCAAATGAAGGAGAAGAAAATCCAGTGTGGAGAAGGTGTGGCCCCTAAAGCCAAGTGAGGGAAAGTTCTTCTGTGGAGAATGATTTTCAGAGCTGACAAAGGTACAGGACTCATTGGGAAGCTCTTACTGGAAAGGTAATGAATACCAGGGGATATCACTAATAATGAAACTCAACACAATGCACACAAGCTGGCTTATGGAATTTCTAATCTTGATGCTTCTGGAGCTCTCTTTTCCCATTTAGAAATCCGAAGAATACCCCACCGTGCAAAGACCTTTGCAGCTAAGAGGAACCATGGACTGTTCTAGGTCTACAAAGTACGTATGGTCCCTTGCAGGGCCATCTACTTCTATTTGGCCACTTTCATTGGGACTTGGGTTTCTTTTGGGAATATGAATGTAAATTCTTTTCACACCCAACTGAACCTTAATTATTCTAACTGTCTGGATGAATTTAAATATGTGGTTTGTGACTCATAAAAAAGTCTGCCCAACCTCAGGCTGAATACAAATGAAGCCACCCTGGGTTTTGATAACTGGTCAACTTGTCCTTAGTACTCTGAACCCTCCCACGTAAATCTATGCAGAGCACACTTACTTCAGGCTTTTTAGGAGGCAGCCCTGCTGTTTTAGCACTTCACAGAGCAGCATGACCCCTAGATCACCCAGGTCATTACTACCCAGGCTCAGCTCCCGCAGGCTCTTGTTGGAGGTCAGAAGTGTGGAAAGATCCCAGCAACAGTGTGAGGTGAGGCCACAGCCATCTAATCTGCAAGAAAGAGGGTGATTTAAAGAAAATGCCCCCTTGGGACGCCTGGGTGGCTCAGTTGGTTAAGCGACTGCCTTCGGCTCAGGTCATGATCCTGGAGTCCCTGGATTGAGTCCCGCATCGGGCTCCCTGCTCAGCGGGGAGTCTGCTTCTCCCTCTGACCCTCCCCCCCATGTGCTCTCTCTCTCTCTAATAAATAAAATCTTTAAAAAAAAAAAAAAGGAAATGCCCCCTTAACTATCCCCCAGTTCCCCCAGATCTCAGGCTGCAATGTTTCAAATGCACAAAAAGCACAGGATTAATGAATTTAGAACAATTGTATGTCTCCGTGGTTATTCTTCTCCCCTTTTTAGATGAAAGTATTTTTTTCCAGTCTACTGGATTGTGCAGATCAAATTAGTAATAGTAGTTTGTGAATTGATTTTTCCCAAATTCTATGCCTCTCTCCAAATTTCCCTAAAACACAAGTGCCATATCACCCTATTCTTTTGTGGTGAAAGGAAATCCAGTATTTACCTTTACACCACCAAGAAGTAGAACCCCTCCAAGTCCCATGATCCTATAATAAACCAAACCTTAGCAGAACACCATCCCTTCTCAGATAAAAATCATCCCATCATCATTTCCCCCACCTTAGCCACCATGTATCCCCCTTATTGTAATTAGCTAAGGGACTTACTCCAATATCTGAAGCTTGCAGTTGGGGTGCAAGACGCCCTCACAGAGCAGCTTCACCCCCGTGTCTCCAAGAGCATTGCCCCGTAGGTAAAGGTGTGTGAGCTTCTGGTTAGTGCTGAGCACTGACGACAGAGCTGGACAGCAACCTGATGTAAGGCCAGAATTCATCAACCTGGAGAAGGAACAAGGAAACGAGGCCTCCATGTTCAGCCTTTCTTGAACATTGAACAGCTATCTTAGCATGGGAATCTCATCTTATCTAAAAAGTGCATCCTTGGGGTGCTTGGGTGGCTCAGTTGGTGAAATGTCTGCCTTTGGCTTAGGTTGTGGTCCCAGGGTCCTGCGATCGAGCCCCACGTCGGGCTCCCTAGGGGCTCAGTGAGGAGTCTGATTCTCCCTCTCTCTGCCCCCCAGCCCAAGCTGGTTCTCTCTCTCTCTCTCTCAAATAAATGAAGTCTTAGGGGAAAAAAAAAAACAGCTTCATCCTTCTCCTTCAAGGTCAGGAGCCAGCATCTTGGATACTATCTGAGGAGAGCATGACTCCTTGTCTCTGGACCCCTAAGAGAGACGAATAGTCATCAGAGCAGATGCTTTGCTGGGACTGGTGGAAGAGACAGAGCAAAAGCAAACTGATCCAGACTCCTTCCACGTTCTTCTTCCTTCTTACACATATTCCCTCTGCCATCCATGCTGTTTTTTTTTAAGACTTTATTTATTTGACAGAGAGAGACACAGCGAAAGAGGGAACACGAGCTGGGGCAGTGGGAGAGGAAGAAGCAGGTTCTCCGTGGAGCAGTGTCACGCATGCTTCCTAACACCACATCTTCCAGAAATACATCCCAGATTATACTTCACTAATAATTCTGAAAACACTGCAAAGACTTGCCTTACTGGGTTCTCACATTAACTGAGCAAGGTGGTAGTGCAGCTGTAACTATTATGTATCTTTTGCAGGTTAGAAATCTGAGGTTTATCAAATCCTGTGTTTCTCTTAAGGTCAAAGGGCAAGTGTTGAGTGGGGAGGGACCTGGACTTAAACCTTATAGGACCATCTCTGCTCTGTGGCCCTTCTATCCATATCACTCTTCCTTCTGCACTGGAAGGGGGCTCTCAGAGCATAGAGCTCTAGATTTGCATGACACTCAGTGGGACTAAGATGTTTGGTGTGCTGCACTTGGGTCAAGTTGAATATATTCTCTTACCCAACAGAAGCATGAGGGCTCTGGGGTAGAGAGCTGCATCCCTCCAGCATAGAAGCTCAGAGTGGGGAATACAGTATACAGAAAACCCATATGCTAGGCCTTCAACAAAACCTTGACTTAACAACATCTCATGCAATCACATTCCTTCCTGCCAGAATCCTAAACAATGACATGTCTTTAAGCTCCAAGATGTCTTAGAATCAGGAAAAATAGAAACATAGAAAGTACCACCAGCAGGTGATCAAAAGAAAACACAAATACTTATCTACCTACTGGTTTCCATCTCACCAGTCAAGGATAAATCATAATAAAAAAAAATTGAATATGCAAGACAAACAGGGGAATAAAGCCCAAGATGGATGAGTAAAAAAAACAAGGCAAGGCTTCTAGTAAGAACTTTATTTCTAGGTGAGCATAATCTCATTAGATGGTCCTTAATTAACATGCAGGAGGTATTTGCAAGATTATTAGCTGTTATTAGCTGTTTGTGTTGTCTTGAAATCATATGTTGAAATCTTAACCGGCATTGTGCTGGTAGGAGGTGCAGCCTTAAGAAGTAATTAGATCTGGAGGGTGGAGTCTTCATGATGGAATTAGTGCCCTGATAAAACAGACCCCAAAGACTTCCCTTGCCCCTATTGCCATGTGAGGACACAACAAGAAGGTGGCTGTTGGAAAGCCCAAAACCAGGTGATCTAAGGCACCTTGATCTTGGGCTTCCAGCCTCCAGAACTATGAGACATGTTTGTCGTTTGAGTCACCCAGACGATAGTATTTTTGTTGCAGCAGCCTGAACAGACTAGATGAAGATGAAGAACAGCAAAGATGAAGACCATTCCAGAAGATTGAAGATAGTCATCCAAAAGTAAAGGAAAAAAATATATATTTTGTGAGTTACAAAATGGCAAGTTTTGCCATCATTTCCCGAAAAAGACTAGAGGGATTATGAACAGATGTTTTACTAGTGGAGCAGCATGAAATGGCAGCACTTACAAGCACAAGGTGGTTTTGTTAAGAATAAGTCACATCTCAATTATCAAACTTAATTACCATTGAGACTGAGTCATGGGTGCATTGAGTGCATAATGAAATGGTTAGGCAATCAAACAACCAAGTTCTACCAGCCAATCCACTTGATTAGAGAGATGTAACCAAGATCACACATCTTGGTCTCAACCAATCCATTTACCCAGTTCTACATTCACTGAGCACAGATATCTTGCCATGTACTATATTGTTAAATTATTGTGTCAAAAGGAAAGATGGCAGAGGAGTAGGAGACCCTATTTCAACTGGTCCCCAGAATTGAGCTGGATATCTACCAGACCACTCTGAGCACCCACGAAACGAGCCTGAGATGTAAGAAGATCTGCATCTCTACAAACAGAATATTGCAGGCGGTTGGTTTTGAGATATGAAGCAGGGAGCCCTGATTCCACGGGGCAGATATCAGAACATAAACAGCAGTGAGAGGGAGCCTGTCCATGGGGATCCTACACCACCGGTGAGCGACAGCCTTGTGCGCTGGGGTCTGGGCACAGACTGGCAGACCAGTAGCTGTGGGGAAATGACTTTAGGGCAGCCCCCAGGGCAGAAAGCCAGAGCGGTGGGGTCACGCATGGGACTGGGAGCAGCTGGCGGTTTTAGAAGCACAAAGGGCTGAGACGCGCTCCGACCTGGAGGCAGGACTGGGAGTGCTACGGAAGGGTGCACAACCCAGGACGCTGCAGTTTATAGCAGCACAGACAGAAATGGAGACAGTGTGGCCTGGAGAACTCACTGAAGAGCAGACTGCGGTCTCTCTGCTCTGAGGCAGAGGGTTGGAAACAGTCTCTTCTGCTCTGACTCTCAGAAGAGACATGGAAAGCCACCAGAGAACAAAAGCCCCAAAAACTGATTCCTGCTGAGCCCATCCCCCACCACAGGGGGGCAAGGAAACTCCGCCCAAAGAGGGTTGCATGAGTAACAGTGCAGCAGGCCCCTCCCCCAGAAGACAGGCTGGGAAAAACAAGAGGCCAGCAACCCTAAGGTCCCAAGAAAACAGGTGCATCTTGCTTGAATTCTGGTCAATAATTTGGACTCTATAAATTCCCTCAAACACCCATCAACAGAATGACTAGGAGGAGGACCCCCCAAAAGAAAAGACTCAGAGATTATGACTTATGCTGCAGATTTACAAATGGATGCAGATATAACCAAGATGTCGGAGATGGAATTCAGGCTGGCAACTGTGAAGACAATAGCTAGAATGGAGAAATCAATTCATGGCAACATAGAGTCTCTAAGGGCAGAAATGAAAGCTGAATTGGCAGAACTTAAAAATGCTATCAATGAGATCCAATCCAATCTAGATAATCTAACAGCTAGGGTAAGTGAGACAGAAGAACGAATAAGTGACCTGGAAGACAGTATAATAGATGAAAAGGGAAAAGAGGAGGCTAGGGAAAAACAACTCAGAATCCATGAAAATAGAATCAGAGAAATAAGTGACACCATGAAGCATTCCAATGTCAGAATAATTGGACTCCCGGAGGGAGTGGAGAGAGAGAGAGGACTAGAAGATGTATTTGAGCAAATCGTAGCTGAGAACTTCCCTAATCTAGGCAATGAAACAAACATTCGCATCCTAAAGGTAGAGAGGAACCCTCCCAAGATAAAGGAAAACAGGCCAACACCCTGAAATGTAGTAGTAAAACTTGCAAATCTTAGAACCAAGGAAACCATCTTAAGGGCAGTTGGGGGAAGAGATTCCTTACGTACAAAGGGAGGAATATCAGAATAACGTCAGACCTATCCACAGAGACCTGGCAAGCCAGAAAGGCCCGGAAAGACATTCTCTACTAATGAGAAGAACGTGCAGCGAAAAATACTTTATCTGGCAAGGCTTTCATTTAGAATGGATGGCTAGATGCAGAGTTTCCATGTCCGGCAGAAACTGAAAGAATATGTGACCACTAAGCTGGCCCTGCAAGAAATATGAAGGGGGGTTCAATAAAAGGAGAAAGACCCCAAGAGTGAGATACAACAGAAATTTACAGGGACAAACTATAAAAACAACATCTTCACAGGCAACATGATGACAATTAATTCATATCTTTCAATAATCACTCTCAACGTGAATGGCCTAAATGCTCCCATAAAACAGCACAAGGTTGCAGATTGGATAAAAAGATAGGACCCATCCGTATGCTGCCTACAAGAGACTCATTTTGAATCTAAAGATACATCCAGACTGAAAATGAAGGGATGGAGATCCATCTTCCATGCCAGCAGACCTCAAAAGAAAGCTGGGGTAACAATTCTTATATCAGACAAATTAGATTTTAAGCTAAAGTCTGTAATTAGACAGAGAAGGACGCTATATCATTCTTAAAGGGTCTATCCAACAAGAAGATCTAACAATTGTAAACATCTATGCCCCCAACATGGGAGCAGCCATCTACATAAGCCAACTGTTAACCAAAATAGTCATATTAATAACAATACGTTAATTGTAGGAGACTTCAATACTCCACTCTCAGCAATGGACAGATCATGTAAGCCAAAAATCAACAAGGAAACAAGAGCTTTGAATGATACACTGGACCAGATGGACCTCATAGATATTTACAGAACATTCCACCCTAAAACAACAGAATACTCATTCTTCTCGAGTGCACATGGAACTTTCTCCAGAATAGACCACATACTGGGTCACAAATCAGGTCTCAACCGATACCAAAAGATTGAGATTATTCCCTGCATATTCTCAGACCACAACGCTTTAAAACTGGAACTCAATCACAAGAAAAAATTTGGTAGAAATTCAAACACTTGGAAGCTAAAGACCACTCTGTTCCAGAATGTTTGGGTCAACCAGGATATCAAAGAAGAACTTAAACAATTCATGGAAATCAATGAAAATGAAAATACATTGGTCCAACACCTATGGGATACTGCAAAGGCGGTCCTAAGGGGGAAATACATAGCC